GGGCAATAATTTTTAGTGGGGGGGGGCACTCCAAGATTTTGGAAAGTGGCCAAGGGCGGCACTTTTCCGTGGAGGGTGTGCAGGGTCTAGGTTGGAGGCTGGGTGCAGAAGGGCGCACAAGGTAAGAGACGGGGGGTGCAGGAGACAGTGTGAGGTCTGAGAGGGAGTTTGGAGGTGAAGGAGGGGATAGTGACATGTGTCAGGGAATTGGGGTGTAGAGTCAGGGAGGGAGTATAGGTACAGGAGAGGATTGTGGGCTGGAGACGGGGCTTTAGAAAGAGGTGCAAAGCCTGGGAGGGAACTGTGACCTGGGAGGAGGGGAAAAGCGGGTGCAGACAGCAGAGGGTGTAGGGGGTGACCTGGGGCAGGGGATTGGGATACAGGGTCTGGGAGGGTGTTTGGATGCAGGAAAGGATTCTGGCCTGGGGAAGGTGTAGGAGGGGTACAGGGTCTGGGAGGGGGTTGTGACCTGGGACAGGGGGTGCAGAGGGTTTGGATGGTGACCTTGGGGAGGGTGTTGTGATGTGGGAGAGGCAGGGGGCCTGTAGCACCCCCAAGGCAGGCTGGGCTCCCTGCCTGCTGCAGCCCCAAATCACTCAGAGCTGCAAGCTTGTTCCCTGTGGGAGGGGGAAGAGGCTTATTTTGCCCCCATCCCAGGCCAATCTCTCAGCTCCAATTGGCTGGTTCTTTCCAGCTAATAGGAGCTGGGGGTACGTCTACACTACAACGTTAATTCGAACTAACTTAGTTCGAATTAGTTAATTTGAACTAAGCTAATTCGAACTAACACGTCTAGAACTAAAAACTAGTTCGAATTAGCGTTTTGCTAATTCGAACTAGCAAGTCCACATTGAGTGGACCCTGAACAGGGCTTAAGGATGGCCGGAAGCAGTGCCGGCAGGGCATCAGAGGAGGACTTAGAGCGTGGAGATGCTGTCTCAGGCTAGCCGAGGGCTGCGCTTAAAGGGTCCCGACCCCCACCCCGGACACACAGTTCTAAGGGGTGCCCTGCTTGCAAAGCAGTCCTGGCTTGGATTGCCCGGAGTACCCACACTGGGCACATCACACCACTCGGCCATCAGCCCGGCTGCACTTGCCGCAGGCTGCCATCTGGGGAGAGGGGACAATCGGGGGGCTGCAGGAGAGCTTCCACCCCCAGAAGCCCGCAGAGCCAGCCCAGTCCTCCCCATTGGGGGCTCATACCCCATTCCTCCCTCACCTCCTTCCACTTACCCTTCCCTAGCCCCCCTTCTTATTGATGTACAAAATAAAGATAACGTTTCTTCCAACATTGACTCTGTCTTTATTGAACAAAACTGGGGGAGACTGGGAAAAGGAGGTGGGAGAAGGGAAGAGAAAGGCTGGGAGAGGGGAGGGCAACTAACATGATCAGGGGTTGGGAACAGGCCCCAGATGAAGAGAGGCTACAGAGACTGGGACTGTTCAGCTTAGAAAAGAGGAGACGGAGAGGGGACAGGATAGAGGTCTCTAAAAGCAGGGGTTAGGTGGAGAGGGTGCATTCAGAAAAGTTCTTCCTGAGTTCCCATAAAGAAGGACTAGAGGACACCAAAGGAAAGGAATGGGTAGCAGGCTTGAAACTAGTAAGAGAAAGTTGTTGTTCTTCCCAAAGCAAATAGTTAACCTGCGGAACTCCTTGCTGCAGGAGGCTGTGAAGGCTACAACTAGAACAGAGTTTAAAGGGAAGTGAGATCAAGTCATGGAGGTTGGGTCCATGGAGTAGTCTTAGCCAGGGGGTAGGAGTGGTGTCCCTGCCCAAAGTTTGTGGAAGGCTGGAGAGGGATGGCACGAGACAAATGGATTGGTCACTGTCTTCAGTCCATCCCCTCCGGGGTCCCTAGGGTTGGCCTCTGTCGGCAGACAGGCTACTGGGCTAGATGGACCTTTGGTCTGACCCAGTACGGCCATTGTAAGCTCACGGCTCAGTGTCGGGGGTCTCAGTGGACCCCCTTGATTTTCATGCACACCTGGTCCTGGGTGGCCAGGCTGGCAGCTCTCCTGCCCTAGACGGCCACTTTCCTGTGCCTAGTGCGGAGATCGTGGACGAGGTCCACGATGTC